GACCTATAAACGGACAAGTTTTAATGTTATCACGGTGTTTTATTAGTCTTCTAATTATTAATAACAGGTAGCACTGCTAAATTCCCCCCCGCCTTTATACGAAACGAAATAAGACACTTCTACAGTCATAAATACGGTAATAAACAATCTTTTGAAAACTGTTTACTGGACGTTGTGTAAAAACTCCTATGCTTCTAAATCTAAGCTATCTAACAAAAAAATTATTTAACAGTTAACTGCACGAAGACTTATTCTTCACTCGTCTCTTTTTAACCTGATTCTACACTAACGCACACATGGTTTACATCACAATGATAACTCGCTACAATCACAGTACTCTTAAGTGCGTAGAAAAAAAAATTAAAAATTAATGTTCAGTTGCATGTATGCTTTTAATTATTTTTTAGGATTTATAACCTATTGTGATGACCTTATCTGTTTAATTGTAAATTATAAATGATTTTTGAAAGGACATAGCTGAAAGAAGATCTATGAATAATGGACATTTAACGAATATTGAATGTAACAATAGTAATACTAGTAATATAAGGCTAAGTTGGTAAAATTCTATCCCTACACGAAAAAACAACCTAGAAATTGTTTAACAGGTGATAACTGGGTCACAAGATAGATATGCATGTTAGGTAATTAAGTATGCACATTGCAATTCATGACAACAAATGGATTTTTCTAGTTGGTTAATCAATTCAATGCCTTTCACCTCCATTTTGGATTCTGGGAGATGACTGATTGACGTTGTCAACAGTGTGGCTGATTCCACTTGACTTGTTGTTGTGTGCCACAGGTAGTGGGACACTCAGTTGATGACACTCAACAAAATTCATTATCAAGTTTCTCGATTTAAATCACTTTATGTCGACTAAATCGGTGAGATTTGAGAGAATGAAGTCTCAAGTCAGTAACAAGCAGTTATACTTTTCCTTTTTCAGAATTTCTTGTATTATTTTACGAATTAAGTGAATATAATGAGAGTTTCAGAGATTTCAAGTCTGATTGCATATTTGTTTTAACACAGACGACTAAGTAGTCTGACAGTGGGTGAATGAGTTTCAACGCAGAACTTTGCGACAATTCAAGTTTTCGCATTCCATGAGGTATACAGTGACACAAAAGAAAGAAGGAGAGAGATTCTAAAGGACGAAAATAAGCGAAGATATGAAGGAGAAGGAATAATAGCTTGGAAAAACAATAGGGCTTGATTGGATATAGTAGATCACAAAGAGTGAATGCGTCTGCACCAGTAACAAGGATCTTGAACTTTATAATTAGTTGTCTCCAGTTATTGCTTCTAGAACTCCAACCAGACAAGTAGTCTGCATCTCCCTATGTGGGCTACTAAAACTAACTGCAGAGGTTTCATGGATGGCTTCCAGGTTTTGGTGTGACCACCACTAGCAGTTTTCTAACTCCATCCCAAGTCAGCTAAAATTTCCAGTGAAGCAAGGGGATGGCTAGACACGCAGAACTCATGTCCTGGTCATCTCAATCGACGTAGCTTCACACCCTCGTCGATCTACATTCGTTCCTTACCTAAGACTGTATGCCTAACCTCAACATTACTGACTTTATTATACCATTTCACACTGTTAACCAAATGTCAGGACATATGACTAAAGAGAATAAGTATTTTCATTTCATTCACTTTCAATGGCCATGTCTCACAGCCAAAAAAGGAAGACGCAGCGTACTGGTGTGCAGTACAAAAGTATTTCGTCCGATAGCTAAATATCACGTCTACACCTGAGATCAACCGTCAGCATGCTCTACTACTTCACTCCCTATCTTTAGGCTAGGGTTTAAAGTAATTCAGTGCTGTAGGAAATCACATTCCAAACATTCGAAAATTTCTGCTCAAGATATTCAGAAGGCTCTACATTTTATCAAAGTTTTCATCCAGGTGAACTGTATCATCCGCATAACCTATGTCAACATTACTATTCCCTGGTAACACGTAGATCCCTAGGTCACTGATATCTTTCGTGTTCCATTCCACTAGTATATCTATAATGAAATTAAACAGAAATAAGGGGATTGGGCATTCTTGGTAGAAGCCACTGTTTGGTTTGATGGTGGAACCAAATGACTGTGAATAACTGACTAATCTTTATTAGTCACTAAAAGTGTATATTTTAGTCATATCATTGATTTTTCTGCTGTAAATTGAGTCCACCAATAAGTTTGATTTATGTGGTCACTCTGGAAAACAGATTTCAATTATTTAGCTTTGTACACAAGGAACTGAGTGGTTAATATCATTTGCATCTGACCACTTAGCTTTTCTTTTACGTTCATCACTAAAGTTAGTAGATTGGTTTCCTTAAAAATACGGTGCTAACCACATATTAGAATATCTTCAATTGGACTGTAAGCGATATTAAGTCATTTTTTCATTTTTAGCCGTTGGTTAATTGAACCTCAGTGTTCAGTCTTTGTTGATTTATCGGAGGTTGGAACAGACGCTTTGATTAACATAATGTTATTTGGTGGGTGATGACTAGCAGTGACCCAAGTGGTCTAGCGGATAACGCCTTGACATTTGAAATGATGAGTGGTGGTTTCAAGTCTCATTGGGAACACCAACACTCACTAGGGCTTGCAGGTATATTCAGATGATGAGTCTCACGCGAGACGAAATGCGCATCCTGGATTCCGGTGCTAATCACCACCCAACAAATAACATCATACAAGTACAATACCACTCATATGGACAAAACTTATTTCTGCTGTACTGATGTCACACACCTACATCGACAACACGAATATAATAAACATCTTATCTTGTTAGCGTTTATACTTCCTTATTTATTCAGTGAAAAATAATACGTTAAAATTATGGTGACTAGGGGGAAATGCAGTATGATGATTTTTTGTCATAAATTTTAAGTGAAAACAGGACACACTAACTACAGTAGGGAAGGCTAATAAATCTTTCTATGACTAGACAATAAATGTTAATGGTGATACCGCTTATTATGATACAGCTTATTTATGCGTGTTTAATGCGTCTAAAAAGTAACTTGTTTTTAAGACACCGTTAAATGAATTTTAAAAAAAATGGTGATAAAATAACATATAAATGAGTGTGTCTAAAAAGTACGCAGCTTTTACAAATATCAAGGTTTCACTTACTTCTACTTTCATTCAGTGGTTTTTAAAGTTTGTGACACTCAGAAGCGTTGGTGGTTCAGTCGTAGAATGCTCACCAAGGACCTAGGACGCGATGTGAGATTCGATCTCCGGTCGACGCAGTTATAGACCTTTCTTAACTAGTACTAAGCAAAGTAAAGAGGAAAGGCTGAGTGTGAAAATATTAACACCATTGCTACTGGGACTTGTGCGTAGGTGACACAGAGGTTAGCATGCTCGCCGATCATGCACATGGTCCGGGGTTCGATCCCTGGCTACTGACACACTCCTTTGCCTCACTAAGCCAGTAACAGAACTGGTAAAGAAGGAAGGCTGGGCATGAGGCTAGCAACCCCATCCTGTAAAAATAAACACTGCTACAGAAACTCCAAGCTCCTATCTTGAAGCCCTATGTTCCACTTGGTACGCGAAGGAATAAAATAAAAAAGATAATAAGTAACTTAGAAAGTTGACAGCTTTTAATGACCTTTTAGTGAATTTTAGCTGGCTGTTCAAGGTTACGAGAAGTGGAGGTAATTGGTCTTATGTATCACCGGTAAAGTAGGATTTCTTACATCTGTTAAGCTTCTCTAATGTAAAAATGATCACTTCAAAACGCTTGTAGAATAAATATGGGATATAGCTTTATTGTGCATCTTCCAGTCTGCTTGTTGTGGAACCCCTGACTCCACTGTCTCGTTGAAACCTACCAGGAAGACTGAGACTGCATACACAACTCGAACCAGAAATTAGAGTCGCTTTGTTCTGGTTACCTTAAAACTTTTGTCTTAATACCACTTTATATGGCAACAGAAGTCAACTATCGGTCAATGTGAGCTTACACTTTTGTCAACTAGCTTTCCTTATTCAACGCTATTTTCAGTCACGTTTCAATTTGTAACTACACCACAAGCAGATGGTGATCTGAAAGCGGTGATCAAATACCTGCATCTATGCATAGTAAAGATATATTAGATGGTTGGAGGCAATCGGCAGGAAACCTAGCTTGACCTAGGTTTCGTGCTAGTTGGCACTCACCAGTCAGCAAGGCGTATCTGCAACTTTGAAGGAACTCATGTCACTTCTGAGATTCGAATCCGCGTCATTCAGTGCTACAGTCAGATACGTTACTACTGAGCTATTTGAACTTACGATCGACCTCCTGTAGGTCTATATTGGATGTTTTTGATTAGACACTAGTCAGTAACCAAATAGTTCAGTGTCTGTCTATGAATGCAGCATCGGGTCACGTGAGTCAGAATCCCTGAAGAGATATGAGTTCCCTCAGGGTTGCAGATACGCCTTGCTGACTGTTAAAACCTAGGTCAAGCAAGGTTTTCTGCTGATTACCTCTAGCCATCTAACAACGACAATTCACAGTGCACCGTGATGGTGAGCCACCTAGGATGGTGGCCACACTACAAACTTGATTGATATAATTCAGTCTGCATCAAAGATGGGACCAGACACACTACACTAGTTACTGACTGGTGTCCAATAAAAAAACCCAGTAACGATGTCTACCATATAATGCAGTTTAGAGGTGAAGGTTTATGTAAGCCCATAAAATATGAACTTTGATAGGAGTAGACTTATAGTTACACAAGTTTTAAAGTTATCTACTATGTTAGCTGGTGTGATATAGTAATTAGAAAGTATTTGAGATGCGAAGACTTAAGAATTCGGTTGCGATTAGGAATGTGAGTACATCCCGTTGAAGAGAGTTCTAGAAAAAGTTAAATGAATAAAACAGGAAAATATTTGTAAAATAATTGGCTTAGTTTTATCTTTATACAATTCTGTGTATAACATTAACTCCACTTTCATTTTCACTTTTACTTTTCATATTTTAGCTTGTTAAAAGTGGAAGACTGAACGGAACAATCGAATTTCCGCTGGCAGATAAATTTTCAAGATTCTCGTTTCGAACAACTATTTTATATTTGGCATCACGTGGAAATGAACCTGGGCTAATGATTGAAGCTGGTTCTGATACAAAGTATGTATTATGCGTCCAGTCCATTAAATGTCCAGAACCTGTTACAACGACTACAACATCTACGACAGAAGCCTTAACAACAACAACTTTACCAACTGCAGCTTTAACTAATTCAAATAATTCCTCTATGTTATTATCTTTATCACCAACCAGTTCACAAGGTCGTTCATCCGGAAATGAAAATGATGCGAACAATGAACACAACAATTCAGCATTTTGGGATACTTTGTTGTCTGGGACTGAACCTAAGAGCTGGTTTCTTGCAACCATTTCTCTGTCCAGTCTGTGTTTACTACTTATAATCATGCTGATTGCAACATGGCTGTATACATGTCGCCTACGTAGGTTATATAACCGAAGGCGTTGTCATGGTACATGCCGTTTTGGTTGTCGTTGTCCACCAGAGGTTGTACGTCAAACAGCTGCTGAAGCTGCAGTATGTGGTCCTTTAGGTTTACAAACACATCAACAGTTTACAAACACAATGTCGCCACAGGGAAACGGTTCTGTCAGGAGTGGTAGTGGATTCGGAAATACACTGTATACAGGTGGAACTTTGAATTCAGGTCGATGGGGCTCAAATGGTAACAAAATCGGCTCTCCGTTATATGTGGCTCTTGGTTCTGCACCTGATAAATCGGCTTTATTAAGTGCTGGATGTAATACACCTAGTTATATGCTTGAAATGTCTGGAGGTTTACCTATAGCGAATACAGTAGACGGATGCAGCGGATCGTGTAATCAAACAAATGGAAAATTTCGAAATACCCGTCTTCGACCGAAAAGAACATCACAAGATGCTCTAAGACGAAGTACAAGTGAAGGTTCTAGTGTATCAGGAGCAACAGGTACAGCCGGCGCTAATAACAGTGTAACAGGTATAGACCAAAACTCTTTTTTGTACCGTTCTGGACAGGCTGTCACTTTTTCTGATGCAACAATGCCAAATATTTTACCTTCTATGGTTGTAAGTAATACAAATGCTGGTCAGCGTGGAACTGAATCAACCGGGACAGTCTACCTACAAGGCGGTCCAAATGGATATAATTACTCAGACAGTGGTAGAGGTAGCGGGATCAGTCCGGGGTATTCACATTCACCTACACATGGAAATAGTAGAAAGGTGAATGATAGAGCATATTTCAGTAGTAACACTAATAGCGCTGGTAATAACAATAATATTAATAATAATAATCATAACAGTAATATTCAAAATGGCCTCATCAACTCCAATGGACCAATTAACAATATGGACGAAGAAGAAGTTGAAAGCAAATGTGATATGAATTATTTAGGAAATCAAGCGAATAAAATCTTATCCAATTTACAATCTGATCATTGCAATGACTACAATAATTACAACTCAGGTAGGTTAGGTAGTTAGATTAGTCCAAATGTGCATTTTTTTTTATTTATTTATATTTTGCTTCTCCCTTTCAAATAATATCGTACACAGCTTGATTTATTTTTGTCCAGCAATTGATAATACTGAATAACACTGAAAGAAAGCTTACTACTACTATATGTACATACAATTAATGCATAACGATGATTACGGATATACATGCTCAGCTGTAATCATTTTAAAAATATTTACTAATTGCATTGAATGACTTCCCTTATATTTATTTATTTCTATCTATCGGTGCGCTTGCTTTTCTACAATACTTAATTACTGTCAGTTTTAGAATTCCCTAATTTACGGAAATCAGTTTAGATATATAGTGAAATTATAAGTACTAAAGTCATCGGACCAGTATCATAGAATATGTGGAAAATATTACTCTGGTATTTTTCAGTTAAAATGATGCATATTAATATTTTATTTGCATTCCTACAGTGTTATCAATAAGATCACTTTTCTTAAGATTTGAATTTATGCTCTTTTTTCGAGTCATCTTAGTACTAGAATAAGTGGTTCAAGGTGATTGGTAATAAACCATAGCTTTAGGTTTCGTTCTTATTGGCACTCATCAACAGGGTAACCTTGGATGAATTCATATCGCCTTTGAGATTTGAACCCGCTTAACTTATTTGTGTTACTGTCAGAGACGTTCCTACTGAATTATATAGGCCACACCATGAACTTGTCCGATAGAATTTAATCCTCAGCAACACGAACGACTAGAGGTATGGCATAGGTCATACTTCTTCAGCAACAAATCAGTGTAAATCTTGAAAATACTTGATATTTTTCATAGTTTGATATGCCTTTGTTTTTTATGGAGGCAGTGCTGATTATGTCTTGAGTGGTCATTGAGGTTTAACTAGGATAATGTGTCTAGTGTTTAGTGGTACTGTTTGAATTCTGTCACTAGATCTGAACAGCTCAATGACAACTTCTTTGACTGCAGCAGCGGCCGACGTCGATTCGAATCTCATAGGGTAGGTCAGTTCCTTTATGATGGGGGACAAAATTTGGTATAACAGCTAAAGCATTTCACGAATATCTGAATGAAGTATATATGGGGATTTCATTAAATTACGGGGTTGAATGAAAGTGAGAATAATATCTGAGGTAGGACTTTAAATAATTTAATTATTCCCATGGTAACATTTAGGAGATAGTATTCGTCGAATGGACTCTTTTTAAATATATTTCCAATATTTCTTTTGGTCTATTATTAACACAATTCGACTGTTGTTCACAGAGTCAAAGGATTAAAGTCGCCATATTTCCATATACGACACCCACTCTGCTGGGCCTACTCATTTTTCACACCAGTAGATGAAGACAGAGATAGTCTGGGGTCCCTAAGCCTTAGTGTTTTACCTTAGGCATTGTATCATCTTAGACTTAGTGAAACTACTACCACTGACTTCATAAGAAAAAAATGAAGAGTGCTTATAAGTTGCACAAACACCTGCTGTGTGTGTCAGTAGTTCAGCGGTAGAATGGTCGCCAACCACGCATTCGGTGATCCAACCTCTAATCACCATCTACTGAATAATATCTAGTCAAATTTAAGCGTCGTTAAAGGAAGCATTAGAAATACACCAACAAGAAAAGAAACCTCTTTAGAATGCAAATGTCTAAAATGGAAAATGTAACGTTATTGGAGAGCCTTGATCAAGTTCGTTAAACACTATGTAAATTGTATCTATTACATCTGCTATACAAGGCATGCAACACCATCAAACTTCAACTGATGAAGTAAGTTGATCTTCGTAACTTTTCATCATAATGTGGAGACCATTCAACATTCACTACTTCATGATACTTTCATAAAGGGAGGAAAGAAGGAGGTCACAGCATGTTCTCTATTGACTGCGATTCTTGGCTATATTTGATAACGTTTCTAGTTACCGATTCAACATATCCTTGGGACGACAACCAAGGAGTGGTGATGTCTCAGCTGGTGCTAACCTGACACACAAATATCCTTAATTCCACAACTCCACGCCATAGGCTGACCATCTGTCTGCTTTTTCTATCCAGCTCCAGGGTTAACGAACAGGAACAGGTACAGAAGTCTCTGGGATGACATTCATAGAACATGTCCAAGTCATCGAAGCTAGTCTTTCCAGATGACGACAGTCAATGAATAGGGATCTCTAACATGGCCAAACACACACTGCTGGACTTTAAAATTACTCACATGATGATGCCACTGGAGGCAAGCAGTTCTCATTTTTGCAGAATAGCTCTTTCTTAGGCACAGATGAATAGTTATTTTTTATCTTTAACAAGTGGCTCAACAGAATGAACAGATACAGTGAAATATTGGTTACTCTACACATATATATTATTATTATTGTATCCTTTAGTTCCTAGAGGAACATAGGGCTTCAGCTGCGCACCTCCATTGCCTTCGGTTTTCTGACAACTTTTTCACCCCGCTCCAGGTCTGTCCACATGCTTTCATCTCCTCCTCGCATGATCTCCTCCAAGTCGCCCTTGGATGACCAACTCGCCACCTCCCTTTCGGGTTCCACTCGAGCGATGGCTTGTCTAGTGATGTCACTTGATGGTTTCCTCAGAGTATGTGTGGCCAGCCAATCCATCTCCATTTCTTCCTGCCTATTTGCTTCACATTCGGTTCCTGATTGGTTCGCTCATTACCAGAGATCCCTGTTGCTGATCTTTTCTGGCCATCTGATCTTGAGTATTGAGCGAAGACAGCTGTTAATGAGGGTCTGAAGTTTGTTTGAGATGCTCTTTATGACTCGCCAAGTCTCTGATCCGTATAGTAGCACTGACTTTACATTGGAGTACACATATATATCCGTTACCTAAAATTTCATGCTATATTTCTTTGTTTCTAAAAGGTAGTTCCAATGCCTAAAATAATTATTCATGCATGCAGTTATCAAAGCGTTCAAAATACTTTCTTCATATCAACCATAAAGCTGAAGGAAATGTTTACTAAAGCCTCCTTCAAATAGAAAAATAATCCTAATGGTCGTAACATAATGTTTAGATGGATAGAAGATTTTAGAGTCATTAGTATTCAGCCATTTATATTGTTATCAAGCGACAGATTTATTAGATAACTTGCTGTTTACTTATCCACTATTCTACAAGTCAACAATGATAAACTTATTATTATTCCAAACTGTTTTACTTCACTAATGGTGCTAAAAAAGGCTGAAGTAAACAATACAAGTCCATTATGTATAGGCTAATACGTTCTTCAGTTTAGTTACAATCCCATTGAGATTCATTAGAAAGACTTCTATTTATAAATATAATAAACAGAGTAAGGTACAAATACATACCTTTACTTTTCACATACAGGTCAACGAGTTTTATATATGTACACGTAGACTGAGAATATAGTTGCTAAAATCAATTTATTCGTCATTTAACTGATGGCAAATAGAGGGATTTTACTTATAGACGTATGTTTGGCTTAAGAACTATTCCATTTTATGCACTGACTTTAGCAATTGTGATTATGGATACAAAAACTCAACGAAACATTAACTGGAAGATAGTTACCACCAAGAAGTCTACTCGAACTCATGCAGCCACGTGAGAGTTTATGAAGAGTTGCTGTCACCTGATGGCAACTAGTGGTAACCGTCAGGGTTTTCACAATGTCTCCATTTCTATTTAATTTCAGCATAGATGTACAAATGAAACCGACCCCAAATGACTTCAGGGAATAGTTTTGTTGACTTAAAATATATGTGGATGATATAGTCTTCCTAAGTGAAAACGCTGGTAAAATGCAGTGTTTTCTGAAAATATTGGAGACCAGTCTTCGAATGTCGAGACTGCCATCTACTCCTGTCAAATGTGATATTATGATGCAGGAATGGACTACATTGACTCCTAGCTTAAAGATAGGGAGTGAAGTGGTTTAGCGTGTTGCCCACTTTACTTATTTTGGAAGTTGCTTCAGCCTGAAAAGATTGATTTCTGACAAAATCTTATCATGTTTACAAAAGTCTCGTATGAGATATGCTTTAGTGCCCAACCTCTGGCGTAGACGTAATATGTGGTTATCGATCAAAGGAGGTGTCCACTTATCACCAGTTAACTCTGTTTGCCTTTATGACTAGGAGACAAGGCCACCGAGACTGGAAGACATGAAAAGATTAGATATCTTCGATCATATGTGTCTCTTTTCTGTCTACCTCCCGTGTTAAATGGTATAATATGGTGAGTAATATTGACGTTGGGTGTAGTGTTAGATAAAGAGGGAAAGTCAATCGATGAGGTTGTGTAGCTGCATCGATTGAGGTGGTAAGGACATGTGTTACGTATGCCTAGCCATCACCCTTCTCGACAGGTAGTGTTAACTGACATATGTGCAGGATGGAACAGAGCTAGTGATGGTTAAACCAAAACGAGAGATCAGTCCATGAAATCTGGTTTGGGTCCTCGGGATGCTCAGCGTCAGTGCCTCGAGAAGACAGGGGATATGGCTCCGGGGTGATGTCAGTGGCCCAGATATATTCAATCTTTGTGATGTACAATATCCATTATATCCTGATGTTTTTTCATGTTACTATTCTTTCCGCCTTATATTTCTGCTTAGCGCCATTCTTTTGAACCTCTTTCGTACTCTGATATTTCTTTCCTTGCGTGCTAAGTGAAGTCTGGCAACTTGAACTGCTTCACTTATGTCACTTAGTCACCTCCAAGAAAAGACATCAATTAGAACGATTAGAAAAAAGTCCTGTTGAAAATATTTACAGACAAGGAAACTGTTTCATCAATGAGTTACTCTGCCTGTGAGTTACCTCGTCATACGTTTTAATAAATATCCCGTCTGAGTGTACTAAATTTACCAGATTAAGGTAGGTTGAAGTATATTAAAGTGTCCCAGTTTAAGGGGGCGGGAGGGCACTGTCATGTTCATACAGGAAAGCATTATTCTTGTCATAAAGCCTTTATATAAGTGACTTTAACAGATATATTAGGTATTTCAACAAAGACCTCGGGTGGGTTAACTACATACAGGCTCCTGTTTCGTCTGCTTTTCTGGCCCAGGTTTAAATTCTTCCATCCATCTACTGCATACATATCAGCTTATCAATTTCAAACTAATTTCTTTAAAAGAAAAGGTTCTGCCTTCGTCTATGGTTTATTGTTTATTCCTGAGTGTGAATACCTCAGCGGTTCATGGGAGTTTGTTGACACACCTCGTTATCGAATCCTTAAAAGTGCTGGAACTATATTATATACTTTGCTATTAAAATAAGAATAATGCCCATCTGTTTGATTTTATTACTCATAACAATAATTCTTAAATTCTCTTTATTTATTCAGAATCGCATAACTTGCCATTACATCATTTGAACCGTGGTTCTGAGGCAGATTTATTAAACATCACTCCTCCTTCAGGATTTTATGACTTTACAAACAGCAACAATCACAACAACAATCAGCACAATAACAGCAGTACTAATGGAATGGTGAATTCTGATTCTGGTTATTTAGTCAGTTCAAGTTTACCTCACAACATGCTTACACCATCACCTCGTCAACAGTCAAGTCATATACACCAAAATCGTTTAATATCTAGTCCAAATAGTTTTGGCCGACAAATATACAATCAGTTGCCACCATCATCAGGAGGACTACTTCCACATTCATCTGGTATAAATGGAAGTAACACGACTACCAATTTACTTTATCCAATCCATGGAAGTCCAACTAGTCAAGGTGAATGGCAAAATCCTATGTCATTTACAAAATGCAGTCTACAAAATGGTGAAATGGTTGGTAGTACTGATGAAGACTTCATAAATGGTTGTCCACCGATTATGCTTTCAACTAATAATACCACATCAGAAAATTCGAATACAGGAACATTAACAAGAACACGTAAATATAATACGCCTAATTATAATAATGGTAACAGTAATGGAGGCTTAAGACCATTAGTTACAAGACCACACTTCTCTGATTCCTTACATTCAGGAGGTAATAATCATAATCTTAATGAGAATAATTCAACAACAATCAATAATAGATCATTTCATAATTCCAATGATAATGCACAAATCAATGATACATTGATAACAACTTCAAAAGTTAATCGTATGTGTGTTGGTATATCAGAGCGTATGTTGTAAATTGAATATTTGCCAATTTGTTTAAATTCACCAATGATAGAACAACTAATAGGAGTATTTCTTCTTTTAAATTTGGACAAATTTAAGTGTTTCGCATAATTCATTCATTAAGGCTATTTATAAGGCATAAAAGGAAACATTTGTTTATTTGCATTCTCGAAGCATCTTCTTCCTCTTATCATCGTGTTGAAATCTACAAGTTTTATATTGCTTGTTCATATTGGAGATTATTTTGCACTAGCTTCTAATAATGACAAGAATCTCATTTTAATTAACCGTCTTTAATTGTCTCTAATGTCAGTCTTTGATGAATCATCTCATTCATTCATTCATCGTGATACTGATGAGGCTATTTGATGATCGGTCCTCCCCCCCGCCGCCTCCTAGAATTAATTTCTCTTCTCGCTACATTCAGATAATTAAACACTTGTCATTTATCAAGAGTGTTGCCTAAATTGCATCATTGCTGTTGTTGCTGATGTTGTCGTTGTTGTTCTATTGTTGTACAGGTCATACATATATATACATGAAATACTTTCACCTTTTTATGATTTCATCAATAACTTTGGGACCGATTTCCCGAGGCCCTCCCTCGACCCTCCCTAATATTGCTTATCTCTCAACAATCTTTGTACATCTGTAAACAACATCATTAGTGTAAGCAACACAAACACGCACACATGCGCGCACACACACACACAGAGAAAAATGACTAAACATCACACATCATCCAGAGAAAAATAACATAAATAAGCATGCATATGAGCATTTTGTTTTGAGCAATGCTAACGTATCTGTTTCTATGCACACTGGCATTTATATGAGAATAAAATCGGATGTTTCGATTACACTGTACATCATTTGTGCTTACGTTCACTAACTAAAATACCCCCTGGTTTCACTGACCTATCTGTATGGGGATTGGAGACAACAGTGCGTATAGTAACGCTGAACACTGGACATGATTAAGAAGTGAACATTTGTGAACACCTGATTGTACACAACACAACACAACATATATATCCCAAATGAATTTTGTTTTTCGTTTAGATTAGAAAAGAGAAAGCCAGGCTGCTGAATAAGCTTTTTCTCTGTCTAACAGAAAATGAATAAGAAAAAACAAAAAATGGTTTTTCTTGTTTAATTTATTTAATTTTGAACTTCATCATTTTCATTTTTTTTCTGTTTATTTATTTGGTTATGATGATGTTGGATGGTTTGTTCGACGATTTTTGCTACTGAAAGGCAACATTTTCTTGAGTGTATGTGTGAGTATTGTTCATTTGGTTTTTATTTTGTCCGGTTAGATCTTTTCTCTCTAATATACAATAATATATCAGAAAGTCAACTCGTCAAAAACTTACTTCTGTCATGTTTGTGTCCGTTGGAGTGTAGATGCACTTGGTGTATGTGTGTGTGTGGGGGGGGGGTGCGTGTGCGCCTGTGTGTTTGCCTACATGCATCTCTTGTCATCGTTAGTTTCTACTTACTTGACTATTTTCAATTCTCTTCTGTTTTTTTTTAAATATTTGTATATGAATGTTTTTGATTTAGATAAACAATAATCGGGTTTATTTCTTGTCTTGTTCAATATTTAAGATACCAGTATTAGTAGTATTATTATTGATCATGATTCGAGTTTTACAAATGGAGAAAGAAATATCTGTTAGTTCCTGAAGAAACAGTAGAGATCGTTCAAGCTGTTGTAAGACAATGGGTCACTGGTCAGTAGCACAGAAAAAGAAGTACTTTCAATGCGAATTCATAATAACTAAGAAACTATAGAAACTACTGCAACATAAGAGTGGTGAATCTTTCATAACTATTCCTCTTTATGCTTTTATAATCGTTCTGTATTTACTAATGATAAATTTTATATTTCAGCCTAATAAACTTAGTTCCACTTATCGTTCGTTTACTAATCTTTCAGTGGTAATCAGATAAATTTAAATTATGGGGTTTTTATAGGGGTTCGGATTATAACTTCAGTGCAGATTTCGTCAATGTAGACTAGGTGAAGTCGGTAGTCATTGAAGGCATCTGTTGATGTGAGAGCTATATCAGGAATTGAAAAAAAATAGATTCTGACCCAAGTGACAATGGTCAACGACCTTGAACTTGTAGCCTTGAAGAATCCCAGACCGGGATGAAACAAATGTCCAGGGCTGTATGGTTTTCAATGATGTCTCTAAGTGATATTAATTCTTGACGAAACCTGGAGCGAAGTTAGATTAATGTGTGTTGAAACAAACGGATGAAACGGTCCTCCGATACACATTCATTTAGATTAATAACTTCAGTCATTTGCTGGTTTTTATGAAGAAATCCTTATGTACTTACCAGTGAAGGAGATAAAATTGCCTTTTTTTCTGCTACATCTTGCTGATAGTTAAGAGATTGTACTTTTACAATGATTTCATGGGTTGGTGTAACGGATACGGTTTACTGAATGTTGCCATAATGCATTAAGTTTAGAAAAAGGCATAACTGGAAGAACGAAAATATCCATCGAGTCTGGAAAAATTTGGGCATTAGGTATGTGATGTCAATTATTATAAAGGGTTGTGTATTTCCCAATGAATGAAAAACTTTCATTATCATGGACCTATTGAGTCTTTCATTCACTGTGCGAAACAGTGTCCAACACTTTCTGATATCCATCAAACTTCCAGGGACTTTACAATAATCAATCACTTGTAATTATCCAACGAATAGAAAAAACTTGGCAGGTGGCTTTTAAAATATATTTCACTGACAGATTTTGACGTTTCTGTTGACTGGATAAGCCAAACACAACCCTAGAGGGGAGCCCGAAAGGGAAACAGCCACGTGGGTGTCCAGAGATGACAAGGAAGAGATCGTGTGGAGGGAAAAAACAGAGGCGCCTATGGCCAATCATAAAGTCACATATAAAAGACTAGAGAGAACAGACAGACTGAGATGGATATGCGCTGCTGAAGCCCTATGATTTACGCAGAATCCAAGTAAATATGTGGCGTGTGCTACTGATAGGATTTGTCAGTAGTATATAAATCCAGTGGTAATCACCATCAACGGGAAGGATTTGAAAGAGGTTACTTCATTCACTTTACTTATCTAGGGAGCATTGTCTCAACTACAGGAAGTCGGAACGGACGAAGATGTCAAATCGAGAATCGGGAAGGCGAGATACACACACATTCATCAACCTGAAACCAATCTGGAAATCTTCGTCACTCAGCCAGTATCAACAACAAAATTCAGTCGGATTTTCAATACAAAAGTGAAGTCAGTCAGCTCTTTTATACAGATTAGAAACTTGGCGGGTGGGTCATAAAGCATATTTTCAACAGCCTGCTGCAGACCCTTATCAACAACTGTCTTCGCTGGATCTATCCTGAAGATCAGATGGCCGGGCTGGAAGGAATCACCAACAAGAATCTATGAGAGCGAACAAAACAAGAACTAATCGCCCACCCAACATATATACGGGAGAAAGTGTAGACGGATTGGACACTCGCTCGCTAAGGAGGCCGCCGGTGGGTGACATCGCGCGTCAGGCCATTGCTCGAGTGGAACGGCCGAAAGGGAAGCGGCGAGTGGGACGTCAGTGCAAGGGTGACATGGAGGAGATCGTGTGAAGTGAAGAAGAGTTGAAACGGTATGGACTAACATGGATACAGGTGAAAAGTACAGCAGAAGGAAGACAGAAGCAAGTGGAGACGTGGAGTTGAAGCCCTATGTTCCAATAGGAACTTAAGGGAACAATAATAATAATATAGAGACGTTTATTGGCATAAAAAACACCAAATAGCACGAATATAGATTTGATACCAGAGGACGCAAACGATACAGTGTTGTAGAGATAACTAGGAGACGTAAAAGGAACAAGAAGAAACATAATATGAAGGACAGAAATAGCACAACACGGAATATCCGCTCAAATGGTGATTTGAAGATAACGTCTATATAATTTAGCTATACAGAGATACCAAATTACTATAAACATTCCTTTACCAAGTCTCTCGTCCCAACTGTTACAACTGGTGTCGGTGCCAGGATCAGTAGCACACGCAGCAAATATACTATTTCTCCTAGATGCTGTGATAAATAATATTTGCTGGCTATTTGTCAGATAGCCTTTTAATTTACAATGCTCAACAGAATTATTAAACTTCGCTCTACAACAGTCAATAAAATCTATTGTCAATATGACATTGTAAAAGTCTATTCAATGGAATTCACCACAATATCAAGTCTTATGGATATCTTCATATATTAGGCAGACAAAGTGATGAATCGACATGTAGAATTTGCATAGAAGGAGCTCTGTGGAGTTTCTCAGAGATGGTTAATTTAGTCTGGAGACTCATTCTTATAGTATGCTGGATTTAGTAGTGTACGATGTATGTATAGTGATACAAAATGCATTTCATATGGCCAAAATGAAGTAAATAAAAATTAAATGAGTTTCCTCTAGGAAAGTTTAAATAAAATATACAGAATTGCACTGCAAACAACTTTTTAAAAAATAAATCAACATATAAACGGGAAAAAAAGCTATTATCTTATGTGGCTTTCTAATTTTTGTTTTTAGTTTGAGAAACTTTTAACCTCGTTTTGTTTTATCACAAATGTCATTTTTCGTGTATAAATTTATTTGATCTTTTCTCTTGCTATAATCTAAACCTTGAAACATGAAATACTCTATTCAGTAATTTTTATTTTAACTCGACAACATACTCATTGCTAATTACCTAAATTCTACTTGGATAAATTGGGATTTAGGACTCATGAACCATTGGGAGAAGAAGACAATTGGATAAAACAGTTGCACTTATTTAAATTGTGTTCTGTCCTAGTTCAGAATACTGTGCAACCACTTTATGATTTAAGATGATAGACTTGAACGCAGTACAACTGCAATTTATTTCAGAATAGTAGAAAACGTTTAGGTTATGATCACCAGTTGAAGGAATGTTGCTTCCTTGTAGACTGACTGGTTTCCTGACTAAACCTTCTGACTGCCGTAAACTTACATTTTATTCTCAGATATAATAAACAGGTTAGGTGTTATATCACTAATAGGCGAACAAACAATTTCGCTAGCATGGTAACTGTTCTTTTTAAAACATTTGCAACCATCGATTACGCATTTCAACAATTGAGAAAATGGTGGGATGCTTGTCAGGATTTTCGCTACTGAATGTCTTAATCTGAACTTTACTTCATTTGATATGATAACGTGCATGCCTGGCATTCATTCCCCAGCATCGAGAATGTCTATTGGATGAGTGGTTCTTTCAGTGTTTGACCAAAAATTGTGGCTAACAATTCATATTGCTTCTGTGGTACATATCCTAAAATTGGAACGATGTAGAGAAGGTTAGCATGGCCCTTTAGAATGAGTGACACGCAATGTTGTGAAAGCACCAGTGGTTCAGTGGCGGAATACTCTGTAACCACTCGATCCCCTGCCGATGCACTCATTAACCTCGTTTAGCTGATAGCAAGACCGGTAAAGAGGGAAGATTGGGAGTGACGCTAGCTACCCCATCCCGTATAAAGAAACTCCACTGCTACTGAAACTTCAAAGCTAGAGCATGAAGCACAATGTTCAAATGGGAACGTAGTGTAATATACATATATAATATTAAGCTAATAAAACAGGTGAGGACTTTTTAGGATAGGTTGGCTTATCATTAGGTAAGAGTGGTGGGGAATACTTATAGTTTAGGGTGTAGATATTCCAACCAAAGGATTTCCTGTACTGATATTCCTAAGAGAAAAGATTTTCGTGACACCGAAGTCACAATCACTGCAAAGTTAGAAATAAGTGAAATAAGCCTAGTGAAGTAGGTGAAAATAAATCTGCTATTATTAAAAACTATGATTGCATTTACAAAATAGCTCCTTTACCTCGAATTAGTATTATCCGAGAGATTATTGACATACGTTATCTTTGATTTTTAGGTACCAGATATTCAGAACTTCAATTTTTTCATAATAATATCGTATTTTTCTATTTGACATGCCTAGTATTACTGAGGCCTTAGCCAGAGGCAATGTATTTACGACATTCTGTCATACATATAATCTTTTTCTTTGGGAAAGAAACACTTGTGGTATATTTGCTTTAGATAAAGTTGTATTAGTTATAATACTGTTGATAAAAGCTATTTAGTACCGTACACACCAAGTGCCAATTGAACCAGAACAAAGTATATTCAAATCGGTTATCTACTTAAACCATCCTAATTTAGTCCATATTGGTTTGTTTATTAGATATATCACACAGTGAAACAGTATTATTTACTGGACGACGAGGTTTCGAACAAAATTTATTGTTCATAATCATATCAATTGTAATCACATTACTTTGAAACTTGACTTTTATAGTTTTCTTTGTCTTCTCCTATTTGTCGTCGTAGGGGTAGTAGAATTTTCCAGATATCTGGGTGGACAGGTGTTGAATCATTCCTATTACATGTATTCTCTCTCAGTTGATTCGATAAACAAAGCTTCCGTTATCAATCTTTCCCTCCACACTGTGACATTAGAATTTAAAATTGTCATCTTATCCCATCTCATCCTATTGTATGGTTGTGTGTAACTGCATGTAGTGCTATAGCTGACCTATTCTCTAGATATAAGTGTTGGTTTGTAGGGATTTGATTGATTGGTTACAGGATTTCATCATGAGCTGACATTAGTTAGAGAACCACTGGAAAACCTGAGAGTACTGGACAGCTGTTTGGTCCTAGTTTGGGACTCTTCATCAGTACGCACCCACCGGGATTCGAACCCGGGACCTTCCGGTTACAAGGCGAGCTCGTATACTTCTTATCTTATTCGGGTCAACCAATCTATATTTTGCTAAGTTTTTATGTTCAGCTAGTCTGACTGACTGCACCTGTTCTACTAGTTT